CCGGTAGCCGGCGTCAGCCCGAGATAGCAGGGACACCGGCAACCCCGTCGAGCCCATCTTGCAGCCCGTCAGCGTCAGCACACTACTGCCGTCGATGCTCACAAAAGCGGAATCAGTGCCGTATATCATTGCACCCAAACCCACGTCGTTGTCACGCCAATCCAACCAGCTTGACTGCTGAACGGTCCACAAGTTGTCGTTACAGATGGCGTAGCGCACGGAGCCGCTGTTCCCCACCACGCGCAACACGCTGTGATCCGATACGCTGAATCCGTGGCGCAGATAAAGAAGGCTTGCCCCAAAGGCCATTATATTGTTGAGCAGCGCAAAAACAGAGTGGTCACTCACACCGAGGCTGTACACGTAGAACAGGTTTGTGTATCCATCGAAGCTGCAGTACCGCACGTACAGCGAGCTGCCGCCCACCAGCGTCAGCGTCCCGATCGTGTACAAACCAAACGCATCACGCTTCGTTGCATGCGCCTTGACGTTGCTGACCAGCAGCGTCGACGCACTCAACACGACGTTCTTCAGCAACAATACGCTCAGGGTTTTGCTCACAACACCCGATAATTCGAACTCGAAGGTCTGCACCGCGTCAACCTCCGTGACGGCGATGTCGCAGTGCTGCGGGAGAGCACGCATAAAAGCAACGGTGGAGGAACGCATCACTGTCTGGCTCACGCGGATCAGGACGCCAGATGACTCCGCCGCCTCAGCGCCACCAACAAACTGCAGCGCGGCACCGCCACAGAATGTGCACCCAGTGAAAGTGATGTTGATGGGAAGATGCAGCGGCATACTGTTGAGGAAAAACGTCAACACAGCACCCACGCCGCTGAATGTCACATCCACGTAGCAGTGGTGCGTCTTCCACATCTTCAGCGTGAGGTTCGTCAGCGTCTGGTTCACCACGCAGCTCGTGTCGCCGTCAACGGCTCTCTCCGCCACGGGCGGCACAACCGCGTCGGGCACCTCGAGGGGAAGACACGACGCGCCATGCCATCCGTCCCTGCAGCTGCACGAACACGAGCTGCGGTCCACCGACTCCGTACCGGGCATGTAGCACGCCGCGTCGTCGTTGCACGTGCCACACCTGAAAATCACCACTTCCTCCGGAAACACATAGTCGTACGACACCTCCTCATCGCCCTGCAGGTTGCACCCAACGACAAACCGCGCGGGTAACTCAACAATCGTCTGTGACAGAGAAAGATCAGCAAAGGGATAACTATCGTCCGCCTGACGGTTGCGTGCAAGCGCCACGGTGGTGCCGCTGCCCGACAACTTAATTTCTTGCCAGGAATGCGGAATAATTAATACTGAGGCGGCACTCACGTTGTTGTCCGTCACACGCCACTGCGCACCGCCCTCGAGGGTCACCGAGCCAGACAAATACACCAGCGCGGGATCAAAAAATTCAGTACCGCCAACAAAGTCGCAATCCGCCACTCGCAGCAGCCCCGCGGAGCTCACGGTGGTATCCCCAAAAAAAATAACGCCATTAGCCGCTCTCATCGTGTTGTTCTCGACGTCAAAGTAGCCGCCGTTCTTCACACCAACAGCATTAACGCAAACAGATGATTCCACACCCTCATCTTCCTCCGTTGTGATCAGCGTATTCCCCTTCACAATGATCCCGCCACCATCAACAACAACACCATTGATGAAACAGACCGCGTACCTATTCGCCCCAATGTAGTTGTCAAGTAGCAGCAGCGTCATATTCGCACTGAGAGTAAACTTCACAAAGGAAATGGCGTGGCTCGACGTCGTCACAAGCGTACTGCCCACCACCAGTATCTGGGAGCTCGCACCAAAATCACCCCTGAACTCCAACTCACCAGGATCCAGCATCGAGGATGTCACGTCCACGTGCACACGCGCACCACTCCCCTTGATCGACAGACCCACGAGGACGCACTGCAGCAGCGTGATGTTGAGTGTCTGTTGTGATGCATCAAAATACGACAGGTCCAGCACGATCGCAGCAGTGAAGTTCACATTGACGAAGCACAGACCACGCACACCGGGACCAGGATATTCCACGGAGCTTATGCTGCCACCGTGCACGCAGCGGACCTCCGTGTCCTTCGCGTCGGGGAGCGGAAGCGGCCCAAGACCGTCCGGAACCGCTGCTGGCAGACACGTGTCACCGTAGCCGCCAGCAGCACACACACACTCACAGCCGCTGATGCTGCTCGTCCTCGCTGCAAAGCACACGGCGTCCATGGTGCACGCACCACAGTCCAACACCGTCACGGGTGCTCCAATATTGAGGTCTTCTCCGTAATTCGTCACAGGAGAGCCCATTGCCTCGTTGCACACGCCGTAGATGGTCGGGCGAGAGTCGGATGGTGGTGACCAGTTGCTTGTCATACTTACACTTGTTGACGAGTACGAGCCGTACGTGATGTTGTTGTACAGTATCGACCACACACTCCGATCGCAAAACACCACGCCGTAGTAGGCAGCCACGTACACAACGTAAGCGGTGCGAAACTCGTTGTCGCGGTGCACCAGCCAACTGCCGCCAGTCACAGTCAGCGTGTTTGCAATGAGCATGGCGAAGCCAAGACGGAACTCGCTGGACACAACCTGCAGCACGCTGCCGCCATGCACCGCAACGTCCCCAAACATACACGCGCCGTTGTAGTATTCGGTGCTCGGCGCACTCCACGAGCTGTTCTGTATGGAGAACACGGAGCCGCCGCCAACACGCAGTTCCGACGCAAGAGCGTAAATCACGTGCGTCCACGACAGGACAGCGCAGTTGTCCATGTAGAAGACGCTAGACAGGTGCACGCCAAGGCTGCGCTCCACGAGGATCGCAGCGCACGAGCCCCCGCCACACACCAGCGTCGACCGCGTCATGACAAACCGCGTCGACAGAAGCCGGACACCGTCCAGGACAAGCACGGGGCCGTACCGGGATCCCGCACGGCCAGGAGTCACCGGCACGTACTGCGACGAGCCAACCGTCGCGCGCAGCGTTGAGTTCGCCAGCAGCACACTCGAGTGCAGCGGTATCGCGCCATGTAGCACAATCGTGCCCTCCAGTGAAGTCACATTCGTCATGTTGACGAGGGCGTGGGGCATCAGGCGCGCCGTGCTCTCGCTGAGGCCGCCAATCCGCAGCTGCGACCCGCCCGCAAGCACGCAGTCGCGCAGCGTCACGTTCAGCGCGTCAGCGAACGCATCCATCGAGCGCAGGTCCACCGCCACAGTGATCGGTCCGCTGAACACCACCGAGTCGAAGCACGCCGTCGCACGCCCACCGCCAACCGTCACCGACTCCGTCAGCGTCACGCCGGTCACGCAGTCCTGCGCACCGCCACCACCGCCGCCGGACCCCGCAGGCGGCACGTCAAACGGCAGGCACGCCTCGCCCAAGCCGCCGGCGCGGCAGCTGCACACACAGTCGGAGAACGACGCCGTCAGCGCATCAAAGCACGCCAGCGCGGCCGCACAACCGTCGCACGGCACCACGCTCACGGGGGACAGGCCGGCCAAGCGATAGTCGCCGCTGCTCTGCAGCACACGGCCGCCAGCACGGTTGCACTGCACCGACACGACGCCACTCGTGATCGTCGGCCCGGAGACGAGCGTCGCGCCGGTGGCACTGCAGCGCGCAATCGACACAGCGCCGCCGCTCAGCGTCACCCCCGACAGCGACGCCACAGACGACGCCTCGCCCACCGCCCACACGTCGTGCAGGTCCATCCACCCGCCGTCACCGACCGTCCCACCGTCGCAGCGCACCAGCGACGACGCAGCAGACCCCTTGACGCCCACGAAGCGCAGCACCGAATCTAACGCAATTAGGCGCTCTCCAAGCAAAATGCCGCCGCCGCTGCTCACAACCGACACGTTCGTCACGGAGAACATCGAGTGGCTCCGCAGACTGAGGCGCGACGAGGACGCCACACGCATCGCGGACGCGGTCGGACCGCCCGACGCCTCCAGCAACACGCCGTCAAGCACCACCGCGCTCGACAGCAGGTCCACACCGCCGCCAACGTACACCGCCGACCCGCCCGCCCGCGACGACCTCAGCACAGTGTTGCTCACACGCAGCTGCGTCTGCAACAGCGACGTCGCGTGCAGCACAAGCGGCGACGCCACCGCGTCCGTCAGCCCACTCAGCTGCGAGTAGCGCATCGGTCCCGGCGTCACAATCGTCGAGTCACGGACCGTCACGTTCGTGTGTGCCGGCAGGTTGTGCACAAACACAAGCGAGCAGTAGCCGCCGGACAGCCCGCTCACGCTCACCTCCAGTCTCCGATCAGTCGCCGGCTCGCCGCTGTAGCCCCGCACGTAGATCTGCGCACCGCCGTCGCACACGCAGTTCCTCATTTCAATGCGCAGCGCACCGGGAAGCATCGCAGCAACGTCGAACACCACAGCCACGCCGTTCGTGATGCACACGCCGTCCATCAGCACCGTTTCCACGGCGCGGCCAACCGTGATGGCTCTGTCCACCGTGCCGCCCCGCAGTCGCAACACCACCGCATGCACAGCAGGCATCCATGCCGCCGCCGCAACCAGCGCCAACACCACAAGCAGCGACACACGCACAGCTGCAATGGCCATGCGCAACACACGGTGCCGGCTGCGCGGACACGCACCCACCGAAGACCACATCCACCGACCCAGACACTTATCAGCAGGGCTGTCGTGGTGTGTCGCACTCGCCCCGTCGACCATAACTCCTGTCTAGCAAATCCCTTTCTACAGATGGAGAATCCAGTGGCACAATTCCGCCAGATCGTTATACCACTACTAATACTACTAATACTGCAAGTAATTCCTAACACCTTGAAACGATGGTTGTGCTGGTCAAGCAAAAGTATCTCTAACTGCATGCTCAGAAAAAGAATAGGAGGCAGCAACAACAACA